TCCTCATCACCAATTGCATTGATGCATAAGCTACCACATGGACCAGGTTCTCAGGCTGCATCCCCACGGAAACCAAAACAGCCTGCGCCTGAATTACAGGAACTACCGCCGCCTCGACCGATAAGCACGGTGCAGCCTGTTAGTTTGCTTTCTACGGCTCTAAATGCTCGCGCAAAGGCGCCAACAAATCCTGTTGAGAAATTCGCAGTACTTTCTGGCGAGGGTCTAAGTGACGCCCTGAACATTCGATTATATGTGCCCTTCTCCGCAGACCCCGAAGACCCCCTCAACCTACCTTTAGCTCGAGAGTCGAAGTTAGCAGAGCAACCAACTACAGTTACTGTTACCGAAGCGATCGGACTGGCACTTTGGAAATATACCGAGGACCGTCGAGAGCCTCCCATCGACCGTGAGAAGCTCACCGTGAATAGGTGGGCACTTCGAATGGTGGAGGACGGCGAAGTTGAGTACGATTTCCCGGCATTGGGTAGAGCATCGGCCATAACGGATTTTACTTCGAACAACAACAATCGAGCAGGCGGAATGCGCGGTCGATCCAGAGGGAAACAATATGACGAGTTCGCTCTAGTAGAAGCTTCCGGTTCAGAGTTCGAGGAGAATGAGCGCTTGTATCCGACTGAGAATGTTTCGGCCCCGGCCGAAGAGCCGGGAGACACAGCGGCAGCAGCAGCAGCATTCCCTGTTCCCGCAAGCCAACCAATCTTAGCGAATAAAACTTCTCGTCCAAATCCGATCTTAGGGCAGCCGTTCTCGTCAGCATTGAACGATAATACCCTCACACCTGCTGATCGGCCAGCGGTGCCCGTTTCTCATGCGACGCCCCGCCTCGGTGTTTCAAAGACGATGAAAATCCGGTATATCAACTTTGAAGCCTCGACCCAAGTTACAACCCTCAATACTTCAACAGATAGCTACATAGCAGAAATTCTCGATTCTGTCTGCAAGAGATGGGGGCTAGAGAAGGGAAATTACCTGCTTAAAGTGATGGGATCCAACACAATTGCGCCGCTGGACCGTACAGTTGAAGCATTGGGCAATATCACGGAGCTAGATCTTGTCCGCCGACGCTTCGGCCCGCAGTTGACGGGATCCCCAGTGAGCTCTTCACCTAACGCACCACTTATGGTTGAAAACCCCGTTGTTCCGAGTAAGAAGGGAAAGAAGAACGAAAAGCGGATGCTACATCCTCTTACCCAAAAGCAAGATCTCATCGGAGGATACTACCGACGGTACTTCGTGCTTCGCAAGCAGTCAATGGGGTTCACCACATCACTTCACCGTGTTTTAACATTTGACAATGACTACATGCACATCATGCCTGCGGATACTGGCAAGAATGGGTCCGACACGAAGACTCGGTCGATAAGCTTCAACGACGTCGTCGGGTGCAAAGTAAGTCGAAGGCATCCAAAGAATTTCCGAGTCGTCGTGCTTCGTGGGACCGATGCAACAGAGCAGAAGCGGTATGACTTCGAGGCGCGGAATGCTCTCGAAGCGGTAGAGATCGTGGACGAGATTAAGAAGAACATGGCGCATTATCGGACGTGAGCGGTCTATTATTATTTCTCTTTATGGGTATTTTTGGGCGCAATACCGCAGGATGGACTGATTATCAATGGACGGATTTGGGTGGGATAAGCATGTATAAAAGCCACCCCAGAGGCTTATAGGTTGTCTTTGTTTGGCGTTGCAGAATGCAAGCATTAAAAAAAAAAAATGCAGGCACAGAATTCTACGCTTGCAAGAGAGCATCGACCCTCGAGAATCCAAGCTCTGAAGCACATGGAATATTTCTAAACTATACAAACTCTATATCCACGAAGCTTTAGGTGTTCGGTGTAGCTATGTGCTGAACAAACTCTTTTTTAAGGTTGGTCCGGAGATACCGTTATGAAGTCATTGCGGCACCAGAAGTAGTGGTGATCTCACCGCGTGGCAGTAGACACCAGGATAGACATCACCGTAACCCGGTTGCAAGTTGGCTCTCCTCGGACCCGGGTCCAGGTATTCTGCGAGGAGGCCGACTTTGGCGGGCGCTCCAGCGGGCTTTGTTAGGGTCCCCGCCGGTCAGAAAGTGTCGACAGAGTGCTGCAGTGAAAGAGGGAGGCAGGTTGGGGAACAAAGACAATTCCTCGACGAACGCACTGATAGGCCGTGGTGGATCGCAGCAGAGAAATGGATCGATTCATCTTGACGCAAAGAACTCAGGCTGCCAGCATGAACCCCGCTTCTTCTGCTACGGCGCTTTCTCCTTCGCCCCCCTCGACGATTGACTCGGGCTTGTCTCAGGTTGAACGTCTCAGAGATCCCTCCTCGCTCCCTCCTGGACTCAGTACACTCTTTGTGTCCAATTGCATTATCGCCGCTTTCTTTCGCGGCTCTTATACTACTTAATAGTCGTACGTACTCCGGTCTGCCATTCCGGCCCTCTCCTTCGTATCCGAGCCAAAGACCAATACGAAAGGACCCCGAGGTCATCGTCCCCTCTCCGTAGCTCCCACGACCAAGCCAGCCGCCTGCATGCTGCCATCCTGGGCCTCACCTCGATCTTGATCTTGTCTCAGGCATTTTTCCATCCTCCATGCCTACTCTCGGAGGTCTCCTAAAGAAACGGCGGACGAAGGATTCGCAGACCCTGTCTAAGGAGCTCCAGGCTGGTTCCACTGGCCACACGACGACGTCACCAATCGCTGCCGAAGATACCCAGCACCACCACCACCTTTTTCACCATAACCACCACTCGTCCAACAATTCTGCAAATTCAGCAACTTCTAACCAACCGGCTGCCAAACAGCAGTCCAACGAGTCTTCAGCCACCAAATCCGCCGACGGCCAAACCGCCTCCATGCAATCCCCCGCACTACAGCCCACCACTTCCGCACACTCGAATTCCGGCCACCACCACCACCACCAAAGCGGCAACGCCGCGAGCATACAAAACATCATAAACCCTTCGCAGCAGAATAACCCGCAAGTCTCCCGGACGGAGCGTACCACCAAGGGAAAATACACGCTCGATGATTTCGCAATCCAGCGCACTCTTGGCACAGGCAGCTTTGGGCGCGTCCACCTTGTGCAATCAAAGCACAACCACCGCTACTATGCAATCAAGGTGTTGAAAAAGGCGCAAGTCGTCAAGATGAAGCAAATCGAACATACAAACGATGAGCGACGAATGCTAAATCGCGTTAGACATCCTTTCTTGGTCACTTTGTGGGGAACTTGGCAGGATGCGCGGAATCTCTACATGGTCATGGATTTCGTAGAGGGCGGAGAGTTGTTTAGCTTACTTCGGAAGTCTCAGGTGAGTCGTATTTTGTCCCTTACTTACCAGAAAAAGGCTAACTAACGTTGGATAATATAAAGAGGTTTCCCAACCCTGTCGCTAAATTCTATGCTGCCGAGGTGACTCTGGCACTGGAGTACCTCCATTCATTGAATATAATTTACAGAGATCTCAAGCCTGAAAACTTGCTCTTAGACCGCCATGGGCATCTCAAGATCACGGATTTCGGCTTTGCGAAAGAAGTCCCTGACATTACATGGACTCTCTGCGGAACCCCCGATTATCTTGCTCCGGAGGTTGTTGCCTCTAAAGGTTATAACAAGTCTGTTGATTGGTAAGTGCTGTTACGAATCGACCAACTATGACCCGCTAACTTGTTTAAGGTGGTCTCTCGGTATCTTGATTTTCGAAATGCTATGTGGCTTCACACCCTTCTGGGATCAAGGATCCCCTGTCAAGATTTATCAAAATATCCTCCAGGGAAGGGTAAAATTCCCACCGTACCTTCACCCCGATGCTGTGGATCTACTCTCACGGCTCATCACCGCGGACCTCACAAAGCGTTTAGGTAACCTCCATGCTGGGTCTGAGGACATCAAAAATCACCCGTGGTTTGCGGAAGTCACTTGGGAACGGCTGTTGAGGAAGGAAATTGATGCGCCTTATGTCCCCCCAATTCGAGGAGGGCAAGGTGATGCAAGCCAGTATGAGAACTACCAGGAAGAGACAGAAGCCTATGGCCATGATGGCGATGATCCGTAAGTTTCTACATCTGCAACTTTCGGTCACTCTTTCTTGCTAACCAATATGACTCTAGTCACGGTCATTTGTTCCCGGGTTTCTAGATCCTCTTATGAGTGATGATGATAATGATATTCATTCTAGAGATTGTTCTCTGATTAGAACTCATGCTTCTTCTACTCTATCATGGAAGGCATGTGGAACCTGGTGCTCTACACAGGACAACGCAATGATCGAAAGCCATTTATTCCACTTGTTGGTCTTGATAATCGCTGGTCGAATGCAACTTAAGCGTTCTCAGAAATGAATATCTAGCGGACGTCGGGCCTAGCATCGATGTTTGCATCAAAAGCATGTCATGGCCCTGCCCCGCTTAAGGATTTGCGGGGCTGCTCTCACTTACCATGAAGATTATTCTCCCTGTTTCACTTATTTGGTTGGGGTGGATTTGTGGCTTCTGTTTGGTCTTTATCTTCAGCTTTCCGGGCATGGACGGTGGGTATGCCTTTTGTCTGGTGTTGGTTTTGGGGACGGTGACACTTATGGTGCCATTGTCATATTTTTGCCGATGACATGTGCGATTTGATATTACCATCTTTCTGGATAATTTTTGAGTTAGCACGGAGCTATTTTTGGTTTATTGTCCCCTCTTACCATACGAGAGGAGGCCTGTATAATCTATGTAAATACGTCTCAGTTCCTCCGTCGTATGGAATGATAAAAGTAGATCAGAAAGGCTATTTTGTATATATATAAAAAACACTAAGTAATATCTCCGCAGCCGCGCCGCACCTAAATGCATATTCAGAAGGATTGAACCAGGTCAACATAACCCCCCCCCCAATTCGATCCGATCTACCCGATACAGTACAATTCCCTTCCTTTATTATCGTACAAGCATTCACTTCCAAACAACCCCCAAGTAACGGCCACATTCATCAATGATTCAGCTTTACACGCCGGAGGCGGACGGCCCACTCGTGGCCAATGAGTTCGCCGCAATCACGTCGAGACCGCCGTTTTTCCTGTCCGACGTGGCGCGAGTAAGGTACGTCTTGCTGGCAACGTTCCATAGTGAGATGTATTTTTCCATGCATTGAGAAAGGCAGGTCTGTTCTCCGGTGCTCATTGTGGATCCGGGGGCTGGGATGCAGTTGTCGAAGCAGTGCTCGTTCACTTTCTGCGTGAAGTTAGTATGCGGGATAACAATGCTGTAAGTGGAAGTAGGCCATGAAATCAAGCGCCAGAAGGGGGGGGAACGTACGCCAATGAGTTGCCGGGCGTTGCTCATGGCAGCTTCTTGTTGGAGCTGCTTCAAGATGGCGGTTTTGACTTCCTGGGCTTCCTGTCCGGAGCCGGGGGCCGCGGCGGCGGGAGTGGAGGAACCGAAAAGACCCATTTTGGATGTGTTGTTATTTGCGATGATAAAGAAGGATGGGGACGGCGCGAATGGTGTAATTAGAGCTGTGGTTGTTGAAAATGATGTCGACAGGATCTGAAGTAATCGGGTATCCGAAAAAGGCTGTGGCGTCGCCGAGGCGGAGAGACGCGCGCACCAGCCACAGCCGCAGCAAGTGGACACCTAACTTCTAAGGCTGGCGAGGGTGCAGTGTGGTGTGAACTCTACTAAGCTTGGTCGGAGTTGACCTGAGTGTCTGATCTGTCCAGTTCTCTCCTGCTCGTCCGACTGCGCCCTAACGAGTTATTTTCCTTGCTCTGTTCCTTTTCTCCCCCGACGCGGGATTCCTTCCTTTGACTTTATTTCCAACCTTGTCGCTTGCGAGCCTATCGATTCCTCGACCGAATCCGTTGTTGTTCCGTTGGTGCCAGGTGGAGGTATACCCTGGTTATACTACCTAGGCAGTGTGCAGTTGAATGTCCCGGCGACATTGAGTGTATTTGCATGCCGTATTACAGTCTATCGTTACTCTCAGCCTTTACATCCACAATCGTTTTGTCTCTTCACCTCTAGCTTACGAAAACAATGTTGTTGCCGCGGCTTTCGACGCTCTTGTGCCTGGTTGGCCTGACGGCTGTGCCCGCAGTCAACGCCTATGACGGGGATGAGAATGTTAAGAGCATCCCGGTGTGTACAGGCCTGCCTTTAGATATTATCACAGCTAACTAACTGTTGAATAGCTTCGAACTCATAGTCTCTCTGCCGTGCGTTTACCTTGCTCACCACCATCCCCGCTTTTCAGCATCGACCTCCCACTGACAGTCGCATAGCCATACTTGGATTCAGACTTCCAAAGCCGCTGGTTCGATTTTGGTGGTGATACAGTGATTCGTGCCGACAAGTATGTGCCCCTTAATATACGCTTAGATTCCCAGTCGAGGAATTGGGGGCTGATCTAGCCTAGATATGTCCGACTTACCGCGGACCGACCATCGCAGCAAGGATGGATATTCTCTCGCGTTCCTCTAACTGCGACAAACTGGGAGGTTAGTAACAATGCGCAAGTGGATACATTAGTTTGAGTGTAAACATTGACCGACCTGGCCTTCTAGATTGAGTTTGAATTTCAGATTCAAGGAGAGGGGAACCTACACGGCGATGGCTTCGCCATGTGGCTCACCAAACAGCGCGCTACACAAGGGCCCGTCTTCGGTTCAACAGATAACTTCGAGGGCCTGGGAATCTTCTTCGACACATACAAGAACAACCGCCCCGGCACATCCTTCCCATACGTCATGGCCATGATGGGTGACGGCAAAACCAGCTACGACCAAGCCCATGACGGCAAGGCCAACGAATTGGCTGGATGCTCTGTACGTCTACATCTCTCGTCCTTTCTAATATAGTTTTACTGACCACACGCGCACAGGCTCGCGGTCTTCGCACTACCTCGGTCCCCACCAAGGCCCGCCTTACCTACTTCCAAGACAAATCCCTAACCCTAGACCTCCAATACAAAGCCGAGGACACCTGGACTAACTGCTTCACGCTCCTGAGCCCCGAAACAAACATTGCCATCCCCTCTGTCGCATATCTCGGTTTCTCCGCGGAGACTGGCGAACTCAGCGACAACCACGACATCATCTCCGTTAAGGCCCAGAACCTATACAACGTCGGTGGCTCGAAGGGCACCGGCGGCAGCGGTCCTTCCCGCAAACCCAACAAGAGTCAGGGCAGCAAGTCGAGGAAGAGCCAGGGAAGCAGCTGGTCGTGGTTCCTGTTCAAGGTGTTCTTCTTCATTGCCGCTTGTGTGGGTGGGTATGTTGGGTGGACTGTGTACAGGTCTCGGACGAGGTATTCGCGATTCTAAGCGACGGGCTTATTGTTGGTGGATGGACTTTATGGATTGATTTCGGTGATGGGTTGATTATTGTTCTGAACTGGTGTGAAGAAAATAACAAAAACATTTCAATTTGTTGTTCTATATTTGATCTGCCTTTTTCACGTTCAATATCTCTATCGTTATTTTGCATAGCCATGATGTATGCGTACATTCTGATTCCCTTTGCTACTATGAAACGAGCCAAAAGTTTCACGATTGTGTATTTCACTGTTTCGAAATATATGAACGCTTAAGTTTCTATGCAAAAACGGGTATCAATAGTATCAACGCTAGAATCCTCCTAAGACGTAAGAAAAATAATAATAATAATAGGGGATATCCCAGTAGAAGACCAACGCCGGAGCCATTCCAATGCAGTTCGTAAATGCTGACTACCGTTTCAAATCGCTCCACAAATGGTCAATAATCTGAAAGACTTCTGTAACGCTGCGCATTACCGACTCATCGATTCCCAGCGCACCGTATCGATGCTGAATTTTGTCTGGATGCCACCGAACTCGCTCCGCCTTGAGCGTAGAGAGCAGGGCATCATTGGGAGTAGATTCGTTCCCAGGACCGGCGGGTTGCGGGGGAGCTCGCCGCATAAACTCCTCCACGTTCTCTTTTGTAATGTCCCTCCTCTTCCCTGTCTCGACGGGCCAAAACAGTAGATTTCGTACCTGAGCCCCTTCCGCTGGTCCTTCACCCTCGCCTTTATTCCGTATTGACTCAATCTCATCCCAGGACTTCACATAGCTTCCCCAAACTCCCTTCCATACCTCCTTCATCTTTCTCCTGTCCCGGCCCCGCCGAAGACTGTCTTCCATCGCTCTTTCAAACTTTCTTTTCTCCTCATTCGCGCCAGCCGCCTTCTCAGCCTGCACCTTTGCCCTCTTTTCCGCTCTTATGCGCTCCTGCTCCTCAAGCATCCCCTCCCTCGTCCGCTTCCACATCTCACCGCGCACATAAGCCGCGTATTCCTCCTCGTCCATTTGTTCGAGCTCTCCCCTTCCGTCTCCTTCCCCGCCGAGATGTCCCGGCGGAGCAGCGAAAGAGTGTACCGACTGCCCGTAAACTGATTCCCAAAACGCCGCGCCTTCATCATCACCTAGAGCATCGAAAAGAGACTCACGGAAAGCGGTGTTTGGCGATAATGGAGGGCCCGGGTATGAAGGGACGGTACCAGGAGAGGGGGAGCGAGTGGTGGTTGTTCTGCGGCGTTTATGTCTGCGGTGGCGGACTTCGTCGTCATCGTGGTGATGCCTGTGTCTGTGTCTATGACGGTGGGAGTCATGTCGGTGAGAATCATGTCGTGAAGACCTAGAACTAGATTTGGATTTGGATTTGAAGCGAAATTTCCCTTTGCTTTTACTTTGGTGGGATGTGTAGTCGTCTGGCTCTGGAGCTGCAGGTTTGGTGCTTGATTCGGCCTTGGATTTGGAATCGTGAGCTGGTGAGGGAGGTGCATTGTCTTCTGCGTCCATGTCCTCTAAACCTTTTTATGTGATCAAGGTAGTTGGAGCGAGGCGAGGACAAAATGGGCGCATCTCGGTAACTTGAGAAATTGATCAGAGGGACGGTCGAGATTCGGGCGGCAACTGGAAGGTGCTGTAATTTACTTTACAACCTTGTGTTTGAGCTAGTAATTTTGCCCATCGAAAGCCCTCAAGCAACGAGCGAACCTTATAATATGTAGCAATCATCAGTTGCGCTTTAAAGGTATTAAGAGACATGCCCCTGATGAATTCTAAGCGGTCTTTCACTACAGCTCCTTGCAAAGATGCATATTGTATCAATATTCACGGTAAATATATGACATCACAGCTCATGAAGTGATGATCAGATAAGATAAGAGTCCAAAAATTACAATTCAAACCATCGCGTGACGTACCACAATTCCTCCTTCAACCTCCAACTGCGCAATTTGCACCATCTCCATCGTCAAACAACACCCCACGCCACATCCCACGACAATTATGGTGCTTGTCGCTTATTCTGACTCGGAAGCCTCTGATTCAGAGCCCGAGAATAACACTCCCGCTTCCGCCCCTGCGTCAGTAACCAAACCCGCCGTATCATCCTCTGGCGCAGCTTCAACCGCAAACCCAAAATTCCCATCCATCGTCGATAAAAGCAACCCCCGCAAAATCCGTGTTGCACTCCCCGAAATCAAACCGGAACCATCAGATGGAGACGATACCGATGGCCCGGCGCGCAAAAAGCCTAGAATAGGAGGTGGCGGCGGTGGTGCGTTTTCGGGTTTCAGTTCATTCCTACCGGCCCCGAAACGGCCAAACGCCACGGCAGAGAAGGAGAAAAAGCTAGGTGGTGGACCTGCGCGAAAGGTGTTCAGTTTGAAGACAGGTGCTGCACCGGGGTTTGATCGGGAGGCTGATGAGGAGATGAGGAAAGATATGGAGTTTGATAGCCTAGGGGGCGCTGGTGGCGATGATGATGAGACTATTCCGAAGGCAGGGAGTTCGCAGAAGGAAGGGTATGAAGAGTTCGGGGATGATAACGGGGAAAATATAACGAAGAAGAAACCGGAAGAGGTAGTCTTGAAGGGAAATCCGATGATGTTCAAGCCGTTGTCTGTGGGGCGGACCCAGAAGAAAAAGAAGACGATGGCCACGATTATTCCGCCACCGGTGCCAGAACCCAAACGGAATGATGGGCATATGGAGGGAAAAAAAGGAACGAACGTACACGCCCCGGCTCAACCCCAGAAGCCTACTGCGCCTCCGGCACCGAGACCCAAAGTCAGCCTTTTCTCCCTGTCGACGGATGAAACAGTTACGCCAGACACCTCAAATTCAGCTAATAGCTCTATATACGAGCCCCTTGTATATACGAATGAACGAGCGCCTGCAGCTGGTCCAGTCCCTGAACCCGAGTTGGCTTCTACCTCATCAACACAAACGGCGCCCCCAACACAATCGTTGGATTACATCGCGGATGATCTGAATCTGTCCCGTGCTCAAAGACGCCAGCTATTTGGCCGCAACGCTGATCCATCGAGTTCTCGGATTCTACACTTCAATACGGATGTGGAATATGCCGCCAACCAGGAAATGGCACATAAGGAACTTGCTGCGACGCAACACAACCCAGTCCGGGCTATTGCCCCCGGAAAGCACACGCTACAACAGTTGGTCAATGCGGCAAGTACGCAAAAGGATGCTTTGGAGGAGAGTTTCGCGACTGGTAAACGGAACAAGAAAGAGGCCGGTGCCAAGTATGGATGGTAAAATGGCCATATCTCTAATGTTACTCTTTGATACGGATACCCTGCCCATGGTTGTAATTGTAATATAAAGACTAGGGATTCCCATATGCAAACAATTTCATTATTCTTGGTTTAGTACCATGCTGGCTCGAGATAGATATGTTGACAATCCTCAATCGGTATGCGGGAAAACCAGAGTAGGTGGTTGTTGTAACTTTTTGTGATCACCCAAACTTCATGCGGTTCGCATGGTAGGATACCTAGGCAGGTACATTGCTAATTGAATAGGGTTGTGAGAGTGATAATGTGATCATATGATCACGGGATCAACTGGGTGGAAAGAGCGAAGGGAGGTATACTATCCTGCTTGCCCTACTGGATGTTTTTGTCAATAACAGGAGACAATTCTGTGGATGTTACGGACGGATGGAAGGACGGTGAGTTCGGAATTGAACAAATAACATAAAATATTCAATAAATGGCACTCTATCAATTCTATACACACTGTGTCGCTTATTTACAAGAGAGAAAACATGCTTTTATATGCCCACAAAAATGAGAAAGACAAACAGACGGAAACGCCACAATGCTACCAATCAATCTAAGAAGAGACGTCCACAACCTCTGCAAACCACTGCTTTAAAGCCGTAGCCAAAACAGCCGGGAGCTCCCTTACATCCCGCACAACGAGGTAATAGGGAAACGGGAACCCTTCAAGATATCTCTTCATCTTCAACTTCATTTCGCCAGTACCGCTCTCAGTGTCCGGCTCAAAACTGGCCTGCGTAAGATCCAGTATGGAGTTTCCCTTCAACGCATCCACAATTATGAAAACGATCATAATTCTTTCTTCCTGGGCTTGACGGACCAGGCGCTGGATTGTTTCGTGATCTTCGCAAATGCCGTCTGATATAATGAGCTCGAGTTGCCAGAGATCAGCACCGCCGGAAGCGGGGGATTGCTTGAAGCGTGCTTCGCGGAAGAGAGCAATTGAGTCGGCAATTAACTTGCGTACATTCGTCCCAGTTTGCTGATAGCTGAAGTTCTGGAAAACTTGGACGCCTGCTTCAGATGAGAAGGGTTTGCCGAAGTCGTGGGCCACGCGAACGTGGTCTTCACTACCAAAACCAAGAACACACAGATCACCCGCCTCAAGCATGCTCAGACTCTTTGCGACAAGTGCGAGGGTTTCAAATGCAAGTTGGCCACTCCCACTCTCAAGCATGGACTTACTATCATCAACCGCAAGCATGATTTGATAGTTGCGCTTAGAAGGAACGGACCGGCGCATCCAGATCTTGTCGCGCTTGTACTGGGAAGCGATGTAGGGTATGATACGTTTGATATTGAGACGCTTACCAGTCCGGAAGTCGCCACGGAGCTTTGTCGCGAGTGTTGGCGCGAGGATCAGGCGGAGTTGTTCGGTTAATGAAAGGGAGAGATCGTTTGTCGCCGATTCGTACTTTGACCATAGTCGTTGGGCTTCATCTCGTGGAGTTAGAGGAGGTAGGGTGGAGGAGAGATGGATGGCGGCTAGGTGGGAGTCGACTTCGTCTAGCTCTTCAGTTTCTGCTTGTTCAGCTAACGCATCTCTCGGGGTTTGCTGGGTCTGTGACGCCCCCGGAATAAATGCACCGGGTGCTTGGTTGTCGCCAGGGGCGCCGACATGATCTAGTTGCATTGTATCCTCTAATTCATTTTCTGGAAGGGCCTGAGACTCTTCAGAGGCGTCGGGCAGCATTTCTTGATCGGTAGGCTTGACATCCGACTCTACACCCTTGTTCTGGTCCAGAGCTTTGGCTTGTTCTTCGTTGGCCTGACCAAGCGCTTGGGTATCAGCGACATCCTCTTGGTCTGCCAAATGCTCAAACTCTGCATCGCCCATCTCCGTGTCCTGGGGTAAGGGCTCGTCTACCTCACCCTCCTCCTGCTTCGAAGCATTCTTAATTTCTTTTTGTCTGCGATGCCATTGCTCAAGGACATCACCTAACTTCTTGAACGCCTGTAACTGGGGGTCTTCTGGGTTGACATCGTCCGCTCCTCCTTCGTCTGTGTGTCTTTGGTTTTCCTCCCCTTCTTTCGCAGCACCGGTTTGCTGGTTCTGTTCGACCGAAGGATCAGTAGAGCCGTCTTCTTGTTGTGCGTTGCCGGATGCGCCTTTCTCCTGGTTCTGGTCTTGCTCGGCACCGAGACCGCCATTAACAGCTTCACTGGGAGCAACTTCTTCTCCGGCAGCTTCATTCTCATCCCGTTGAGCAAGAAAGTCATCTTGCTGGGCATCCTCGGAGTTCTCTCCATCCTCCTGTGCCTCATCCTCGCCTTCAGCTGCATTGGTATTCTCCTCGGCTTCAGCTTCCTCGTCCTGGTCGATTTCTTGCTCTTCTCCAGGCTGGTCACCGTGGCCCTCCTCTTCTGGCCCTTCTTCCTGCATCTCGTTCATTTGCTCGTCATTCGGCGCATCCGGAAGATCATCGAGTCCGTCGTCACTCTCAAGGCCTTCTTCATCAGCTCCTTTCTCGTCACCATCAAGCTGCATCTCTTCTGGAAGATCCAGTGTCTCTTGCTCCTGAGCCTGGGGATCGGTAACATCCATATCTTCGCGTCCAACAGCCTCGCCTTCATCCTCGGGCGCTTCTTCCTCTTCCTCGTTCTCTTCATCTCCTTCCCCTTCCTCTTTATCTCCCTCCTCGCCCTTTTCACCCTCCTTCTGCTCTGGTGCAGCCGTTTGTTGATCAGACTCCGAAGCGCCTTTACCTTCTTCGTTCTCTGTCTCTTTTTGCTGCTCGTCATGACCGCCGTCCCACATCTTCTCATCAACAGCCGATGCGTCCAAGTCATTGACGCTGCCAACCTCCTCATCAATATCACCTTCTTCGTCCTCTTCGCCACTTTCATTTTTCTCCTCGTCTTCTGCTTCGTCGCGTTCGCCCTCTTCTCCTTTCAGATCTTCCTGGTCCATGTTCACCGCGTCCTTGGACTTGTCCATGTCCTCTCCAGCTCCTTCTTGTTGCTCCTGCTGCGCGAGCTCCGACAGGTCCTCATCATCCCCAACATCTTTACTGATATCCTCAGCTCCTTCTCCTTCACCGAGTCCTGTTCCACTTTCTAGCTTTCCGGCCTGCCCTTCCTCAGTTGACTCCTCATGCGGGGTACAGAAGCCTTCGGAAGAGACTTGGACAAATGACTTGGTGAGGATGTAGGATAATTTGCAGGTCTCTCGATGCACTTTTAGAAAGCGGCCAACAATGTCTTGACTTATATCGTAATATTTGTTCATGATGGGCAACAGGCTTGCCAGTAAGGCGACTGCCAACGGAATGCCCATATCTGATTGTTGCTGAACTCGGCGTAGTGTTTCGAGGACATCATTAAGGGCATTTGTGATATCAGACAAATGTGTAGACTTGATGGCTTTGGTGAAAAATTCGTCGCTTCGGGAAAGGGATCCGGTTGATGTAATCAAGGCAGGCACCTCCTTGAGTTTTTGAAGACTGACAAGAATTTTGTCCGTGGCTGAAGTAAGACTGCAATCAAAATCTTCTACGGCTAGAACGTCCGTGTCCTTCGCGGATTCTGTGGATTCTACCTTGAGTTTAGTCCAAGGTAGAAGTTGGTCCAGGACAAAGGTAAGATCAGGGCGCTCTCGAACCCATTTCGCGATATCAGTCCTCAATTGGCTCAGGGAGGATGCGGATTCGTCAATAGTATGCTGGTGAAGTTTCGAAGTAAGTCCACTCGGCAAGTCGGGAAGATGTTTAATGGATTGTCTTAGTCGTTCGAACGTGTCTTTCCATGCTCGCAAGCCAGTGAATATATTCGATGACACAACTTCAGAGAATTTCGAATGTAACTCCACGATTGTTGAGGCAAGTCCGAGAGTTGGAGCGAGCCATGCAACTGCCGTTGTGATTTCTTTCTTTCCGCTCGGGAGCTCGATATCGGACCGAACAATTGAGGACGCTCCTGATTTCCATAGGTTTGAGACCTTAACGAGAGTGGACTGGAGTATTCCCAAGTCTGACAGGGCAGGGGAGAGAGCGGCTCTCTGTTTTCTTATCATAAACAAGAGTTGCTCCATGGAACCCAGACTCCTTGACACCTCCACATTGCTAAGTTCCTCGGAGTAGCTCCGCGATGCTTGGCGTGCACGGGGAAGTAAGTCTAGAAGCCGGTGGAAGTAGGCGTCGCAACTCTCGATCAGTTGCGTGACTTCAGAATTGGCTGGAAGAGATGGACTGGTAGCAAGCACCTTAGCAACGGTCGCCTGTGATTCTATCAAGTCGGTACCAGCGTTGCGCTTGACACCCATCTCCAGAAGTTGTCGCAGAGTGTCCGCATAGAAACGACGTTTCTGGCCTTTAAGGTGCTGAACATCGGCTTTGTTCTCCTCTGTTAGAACCTTTGGCGTCTGTGTTCTGTATTCCTTAATACTCTCCAGGAAAAATTGAACAAAACCGCCCAGTTCGTTGCCGATATCGAATTCATCCGGAATTGAGAGGTACATGCTCAGCATACTCTTGACTGTTCCGTCCGGGTTTGTGAATCGAGGTGGCCGAGTAGACCAGACCTTACCTTTCTCGCATATGGTGAGGGCTTCGGGAAGATATGCAGAAGAGGCAGTCGGCTTGCGGCCGCTAAAGATCACATCGTCGTCCCTTTCAGGCATATCCTGACTTAGGATCTGTTCAACGGGGAGACTCAATATCTCGCGATATTTGCGGACGAGCTTGAACAACTTCACGTGTGATCGCCGAGCACTCTCTCTAAGAGCAACAATATTGGTGTCCTTCCAGCTTGCAAGCTGTATCTGCTCTTTGATGTCTTTTTCGAGAGTAGAACGCTTGTCGATCAGCAATTTATTCACCGCAGGCTCAAACTCGGCATAGTATTGAAGGAAATTGTCAAATGCAGACACAAGCTGCTTCAGCGATGGATAATCTGTGACATAAAGCAGGAGGAGAGATCGGAAGTTCTTGATGAGCCGGAGGCGCTCGCTATACTGCCCTAGCGTAGTTGAGTGAATGAATTGTTCCAATGTACCAACCACCTCTTGCACATGGTCGTATAGGTCTGTTTGCCCTGACTTTGCGATTTGAATAGGCCCTCGGATGAGGGCCTCAAAAGCGATAAACCACCACGAACTCACGTCCTGG